ATGGACATGCTCACGGTCATAAATTAGTTTTCAGAAAAGAATAGCAAATGAACATTAGACTAGTCATTTAGTTTTCAGACAAGAGAAACAATCTGGGCATTAATCATTCTAAATGTTTTCTATATCCACCTGTTTTATCAGATTATGGCAATTATTTGATCAGCAATCATTTTTACGAGTATTTAGTTTTGAGTAAAGAGTAGCACATGAACATTAGGACGGTAGTTTAATTTTCAGAAAAGAGAAGCTTTGAGCGTTAGAACAGTCATTTAGTTTTGAGTAAAATGAAACAAATGGACACTGTTGCAACAATCATAATTTAGTGTTTAAAAATGAAAAGCAAATGAACATTAAAACATCAAATGGTGCACTCCATAGTGAACTAGAGAAATAAATTATCATGCAGGAAACCTAAGTTGAGTTTGAAAATCCATAATCACGCCAAGTAAAAGATTCCATAGAAATTAGCATGAAAGGCACCTAGTGGATGGATTACCGTCATTTAAAAACCATAAAAGGAAAAGTGCAGACTGCTGTGTCAGAGAATTTTCATGAAAAAAAAGAGACATACCACCAATAAGAAAGTTTTTGACATTTCATATTATTTATCCTTTGAAAGAGAGCAAAAAGCTAATGAGGTGCCAAAATGGTGCACTCCGTAATGAACCAGAAATACGTGAACGTGCATGGTTTAGGATGTTGTAATACAAGTCTATGTAAGAATGTTGCCTAGAAACTGCTGGTTGACATACTGAGACCTGTTAGACGTCCTTGGTCTCAAAAACCATGGAGAACAGGAAATACGTCAGAGTGCATGGTCTTTTTAGTGTGTTTTTTTATGGCACTCGCAACTGCATAATGTCATATGAGCGCCAAGGGGTGGATGACAACAGAGAAGTCTTTACATGGAATCAGGTTTACTCTGCTCAATTCTCTAGCCTCAACAGCACAAAGTCTGCTTCGACTATCAAGGCACCCCGGAAATAGCGGGTCACAAGAGTGTGACAAACATACAAAAGAAGTAGAGGAAAAAATGACAATAGTAAGGATGAGGAAAGAAAAAGCAGCAGTTCCCCCTATGTTGTTCCGGCACAGTATGAGCATGGAATTGATAAATCAGCCCATTTACAATTCTACTGTGCATAAGAACATGTTAACATGTGAATGGTCTAGGATACTATAGATTATGTATAAATCTATGGGAATTTTCCCAGAAACTGTTTGTTGGATTTACCGAGGCCTGCGAGAGGTCCATAGTCTCAAACACCATGGTCATGAGATGCGTCATCTGTATAATCTCCCCTGACATGAGACACAGCTTCTTGTTATCGTCCAGCACCGTGTTCATGTTCTCAATCCACACCGCGTCGATCGGACCGTCAAAGATGACCCATTTCCTGTCTGGGCTCTCGGACGAGGCGAACTCTCGGAACGTGTTGGCTGTCACACCATCAGACCACTGGGTATTGGTACAAGGTCTAGGTGTTAATATCGCAAAGGGTACGGTACAGAAAATACAGACTTCAACATAAGTTAAGGACCACCTTGACAGACAGCCCTGATTTTTAAAAATCCGAAAAAGACAGCAAGGAATGTTTCCAAATTTTTTAAAACTCTGAAAGCGTTAATGGGTTACCAACGCGTAGTACAAAGCTTCCTAAAGGGGCAAACCACCACGTGCAGCACGGAAATCCTCGGGAAATTGTAGCTAAATTTGCAAGTGGTCCTTAACTTATGTTGAAGTCTGTAAATCATTAATGTATTAGGTCCAGGTTCTTAGTGTTAATACTGTATTGAACACCAATTTTAAGTAGTTAGTATTTAGGCTTTTTTTTCAAATCTTTGTTGATAAAGGAGTAAATCAAACTCATAAAAAAAACTATATCAAACTAGAACAAAAAAACGTCGATGCCACAACTGACAAGTCATTTACTGACCTCATGAGAAACAGGCTTTTTAGTTTTAGTAAGAGTTTTACGGCACTTGCAATACAATTACGTCATATAAGTGCTGAAGATTGGAGGTGTTACAAGAAGAGAGTAACATACATAAAAGAAGGAGGAGAGATAAAGACGATACTTGTTGAATAGGAAAGAAGAAGTAAACCGCACCAGAGCCCCCGCCAACCGCCCACTTGCAGGACGGGGGAAGGGGCAGAAAGATTAGTTTTAGTAAGAGTTTTATGGCACTTGCAACACAAATAGTTCATATTATAAGTGCCAACGCCAAGTGGTGCTGCTAGAGAGTAAATTATAAAGAAAAGAAGCAGAAAGAAGGAGCAAATCACACCCGAGTGCCCCTCAATATATTGTTGAACGCAAAAGTGAAATCAATAAATGGTCGCTTTTAAGCATAAGGGGGGGGGGCTGTTTTGAGAAAATCGAAGGTAAAGTTTTTGGACCCATTTTCGATTTCTTTGAAAGACAGGGAGAATTTTCTCTATACCCAAACAAATATACACATAGATGTAACCAAACTTCTCCTCTAGGTAAGGCAATGCCCACTTTTGGTGTAGGTCAAGATTTCTGGAAACCCCCTACATCGGGGTTACCCTCTTGTCCTTAAAAGCGACCAAATATATTTTGACTTCTTTCTCCTCTGCGTTGATAATGGTGTCAAATAAACTCACACAAAAACTGAACAAACATTTCTAAAATTCTGCACTGCCATAGCAGACTTCTCTTTTCCTGACCTCATGAGACATCGGCTAAAGCTGGCCCCTGGTGGTGAACTTGGGTGAATGATGTGACAGATAACCTGTGTGATGGTGTGTTGTCTTGTATGTCCGGGTGATAAAGTTTGTGTGTGTGTGTGCATGTGTGTGTGTGTGTGTGTGTGTGTGTGTGTGTGTGTGTGTGTGTAAATATGTGTGTGTGTGTGGTGGGAAGAAAAATCTTTTTTTCATGGACTGACCTCGTGAGAGACGGCGTCGAACTGACCAAAGAGTTGTCCCATGGTGATGGACTTGGGGTTGATGATGCGGTAAATGACGCCCTCGTACTCCTCGTGGAGTTCCTCACGGAGCAGCGTCATGCCCTCGGCCAGTGTCTGTAGGACTTGGGTCTTGCCACCGTATGGTTCACCCACTAGCATGAAGCTGAGGGAGAGACGGAGGGAGAGTTGGGAGGGAGAGAGAGATAGAGAGAGAGAGAGAGAGAGATAGAGAGAGAGAGAGGGGGAGAGATAGATAGATAGAGAGAGAGAGAGAGAGA